TAAAGTTTAAGGCTTTATCTGATCAAGATAAGAATCATTATTACCCACGCGGTCAACGTATGGGTAGTTGCATACTAATCTCGTACGTCACACGAGTGTCGTATCGCGTTGACCTGTGTCGTAACGACTTGACCTGAGATTCTAACGATTTGATTGGATAACCGATGACCTCTCAATTAGGTCACATTCTGACATAACTATTTTTTCATTCATAACAAACACGTGAATTCATTCATTCTACAACTTAAATGCATTGTGGGAATGTAAACATCGCGAACGTTGCCGTGTCGCTGTTTAATTGTGAGTCGAACTGAGACATTATATCCGTCGAAAAACGTAAACGCAATGTTTCCACCAGTGATCGATGTTAGCTGAATGAAGCAACTGCAAACCAAGAAACGGGGTGCTACGGAGTAGTTTACTGTAGGAGGCTGTACGAGGCGATGACAACTGACATGCATCGTGACGTCGGTTACCACGGCAGTGACGTCATTACAGTGTGACGTAATGCAAATATTGTACTACAGTACAAAACTCTTCCGCAACCTCTTTATGAAACCGGTTTCGGTTTGAAACCAAAAAATATTAAGAAATATACGCTATTTTGTCAATTTAATGCATGTAAGACGTGGGTAATAAATAAAATACCACACTCGGTCTCATTACATACGAATTATACGAAACTCGTGATATTATACGAAACTCGTGACCTTCCTACGTTATCTGTCGCTTTCGCTCGGTCAGATACCATAGGAAGGACACTCGTTTCGTATAATTCGTATGTAATGAGACATCGTGTAGTATTCTCTATGTACTACTATCACTACCACTACGATCAAGACGCATAGGTCTGCTGCATGGATCTCACTTCTGACAATGACGACACACACCTCCCATCCCAATGACACGCTATCATCTTGAAATACTCGTTTTACAATAATAAATTGGCAACATCATTATGTGTGGGCTTGATCAGCATCACATCCTGCCTCACAATCAAAGATCCACTTATTCATATATGCAGTTATACTTATGTATACGAAGCTGCAAAAATAAAATATATTGCCAGAAATTGTAGTCGCGCTTCCGGAAGGAGAACTTGCGTCATACCTACAAAGGTTTACATCCTGACGTCCATTTTACGGCTGATGTGAATGAAAATTGTAAATGCCCACACTTGAGTTCATTCACGTATGTCGTCAGTGAATGGAAATATTTTCTTAATGGAATTTTTTATTTGAAAACGAAAATTAATCCCGCTACTTTAAAGTCCCAATGCCAACTTTTAAGGGCATTACTCATGTTGGCATGTCGTGTTAGAATGCTGGAAGGGCACCGCTTTGATATCTTACCCGGTGTAATACTGGGACACTACTCATGTTGGCATGTCGTGTTAGAATGCTGGAAGGGCACCGCGTTGATATCTTACCCGGTGAAACACTGGGACATTACTCATGTTGGCATGTCGTGTTAGAATGCTGGAAGGGCACCGCGTTGATATCTTACCCGGTGTAATACTGGGACACTACGCCTAACACACATAACACACAGTTGAAAGCAGCCATTAGCGATATATAAGAGGGCAGTGACAATTGGAAATTAGCGATTCAAATGAGAGCAGGGCCATTTCTGAAGGCAGTGATGGTAGCGATACGTATGGCAACGCGGCAATGATACATATCAAAGCAATAACAGCGACACACATGCGAGCTATCACACGTGTGTCCCACTTTAAAAAGACTAGTTCATTCTAGATTTTGAATGACGATGGAAATTTTCAGACTGGTTTTCCATTATGCAATAACACCGTTGACTTTCTATACTTACTCACGACGTAACCCTGACGTATCCGATTCATGTGTCTGCTTACATGATTGCGTCATTCTAGTGTCCTCCTTAACGACCCTGTCTGTGTCACTGGTGATTCGGCACTTTTGAAGGCATTGTTGATCAAGTTTATACAAAAGTACTATATGTGTAATAGTGTGACACATAACTCCATAATAAATATAACGGGTGTTGTATGCATCGGAAGCAAGAAGATCATACGTGTGACTGTTGGGTGTACAGAAGCGTCCCATATATTGAACCTGGGCCATGAAACACGTATATCATGTAATAAGTATTCTGGCACGGCTGAATGTAACACATAGGCTATATTCACGTCTCATTTTACTTATATATTTCATAATTCATACTCCAACAAACTATGACACAGCATCGACAACCATTAGGTGCAAGTAAACGGCAAATGATTGTTGTGATTCTGTTCCAAATTAAAAATAGTCTATAGTTTACATTTAGTTAATTTTCGAGGAAGAATATATGATCTTTTGGGAAGAAAGTATCTACATGCCCAAATGAAAGTGTCGAAAGTGTCGAAATCACAACCTCCGTTTTAAGTTTCCCAAACAAACCTATTTTGGGGCGTGGCTTGAAGCTCCCGGCGTTGACAAACTGTTCCCTCTGGTTTATACGGTTGTCCTAGCGTCATCTTCTGGCCGTGCTGGTCATATAGGCTCTTACATGAGTTCTCTCTTGGTGTCAGTCTCTCTTGAAAAACTAACTGGTAGACCCCAGAGACCGGGCTGGTGCCCTCCCATTTGTGAGGCCTCCCAGTTGTGAGTCACATTAATTAATGGTTGAGTGCACCTATTGGTGTTTCCACATCCCTACAATGAAAGTGGGAACAACCCTGTTCCTGAAGAGTACCCATTGAGGGCATGGTTCATTAATGAGTTAATTAATACAGAAGACATTGTTTGTTAAAGAGCATTTTCAATAAAGAACATCGATAGATACAGAATTAATGACATAGAATATAAAAGATATGGAGCAGCCGGTAACCTCCCAAAACCCCTACATCCCATAACCCCTATAGCTTATAACAACACAGTTCATGGTCCAGTGCACTCCTAATCTCCTGCCTGTTACCTATTTCATACAATGGACCGGCCCAAACACTTGGCAACTGAGAGAATGATTTTAATGAGCAATAACCAAACTATGAGTTTGAGAGAATAGTTTTAATGGATGATAACAAAAATATTTTAACAAAAGTTCAATAATATTGAACTTGAGGTTTAATAAACTTCATTAAGTATCATAATGTCATAACATATTAAATGTTTTTATGTTTTATTTTTCTACATATTATCTGTCAACCTCATGCAAATTGGTTTTGCTATGTTCCAGCCTCACGATCCTCATTTTGTTTGATTTTTATCTTGGTACCCCCAAATAAGGCAAAATCTAATCGGAGTAATGCGGAGTAATGTGGAGTAATGCGTACTGACTGATGTTATGTCATATGTGTGTTTGAATGAAATATATATTATATTATCTACTGTTAATGTTTTTTTATGAGAACTCCTGCCCCATGAGGTCGAACGCTGGCACATATTGAAAAACATCTAATGAGGTAATTTGGAAGAGAACAATAATATGTGACATGCCAGTAAATAATTTTCTTCTAAAAGAAAATAACCGTTTCACCATGTGACAATGAGCCAACTGTATTCCCGTGTCTTCTCCTAATACCGACACACACGGGTTATACAAGTCCCGGAAATATACGGCACGATTTCACATGAACAATGACATAACCCATCAGCTGTTACTTTGAACTTATCATATCCTATCATGTTTTCTTCTTGAAGAGTATTACATTTGCGTGACATATCAATCTAATATCGGCCTAAAGTCTACAAATTGATAACATGTATCTATTTAGAGAGTGATCAGATGTAACACACGTTATATTTGAATTACAATGTCTCAACAAACTGTAGATAATTTGTTGGGTTGAAGCCAGCTCGGGATTCGAACTTGCACTCTTGGAGTCAGGCACCTAATCGCCAGAGGCTGTACTTTACTGAGAAAGTGTAATCCCAAATGCAAAACCTTTTTACACGAGTAAATATTCTGCTTATTAATTGCGTGGTTGCTGTACGACACAGTAAATCCGATAAATTCTGAAAACACAGTTAATCCGATAAATTATTTGGCTGTTAATCTATTCCGTATTCACCAAATAGTTCCACAGGCATTGTTACTGTTTTTGTATACAACCCTGTCAATATTGGACTACAATACGTGTTAGCACAATATATATGATACTACCGTAATGAATCCTGTAACCCTCTCAAGATGGTTGGGTTGTTGTTTAACAATACACATATTTTAGCTACATATACGACGTCTGTCTGTAAATAATCAAGTCTGGATCGGACAATGGAACATGAGCATCGATCTACTCAACTGGGATACGATGACAAGTCAGCGAGCCTGGCCACACCTATCCCGTTAGTCGCCTTTTACGACAAGCATATGTCCCTCTCAAATGAGTCAGTGAGGTTAGTTTTACGCCGCTTTTAGCAATATCACGGCGGGGAACACTAGAAATGGTCTTCACACATTGTACCCATGTGGGGAATCGAACCCGGGTCTTCGGCGTGACGAGCAAACGCTTTAACCACTAGGCTACCACATCGCCCCCTCAAGTCAGTGAACTTTAACAAAAAGATATGACATAAGGGGGAAATGTTATGTATGTGAGCTTGTGTTATATCAGGATATTCCAACACACGTTGACATGTCACATATCAGGAAGTTGACAAGCATAAAATTTCCTCCTTTACGTTTATCACGCCTAAATATCACAGTCATTATAAAATATTCGGAGATACCGCTGTGTGGTACGAGTTACATGCTGATACAGCTACGTAACGGCTTTATCTACTGTTTTGTGTAGGATGGGAATGTGCGTGTTATCCTAGATTACTCATGTAAGGAATTTGGAAACTAAGCCTATTTCAGGACAGCGAAGTAATTGTCAGTATTCAATTTGTCATCAATTGCTCAATCAAATACCCGACATACAGAACACACTGGGTGATAAAAGAAGAAAGACCGTGGGCATTACCGACTGACCCAGCTGAACGAATCGGGTTCATGTAAGGTAAGTCACGGGGTTGTAGAAGGTAGTCGGTTTTGCCTGTTAAACGCGCATGCGCACAAGCGAACGACTGGAGGCGAAAGGCAACGGGATCAAGCGATCTCTCCGTCCACGACGACAGGAATCTATTACGTTTCAGCTGTATCAGCAGGCGCAGAGAGGAGGAGCATTTCACCTATATTACAAGACCATACAGTCAGAATGGAGGTTATGAACAGAACAGTGCATTTGATGGATACACGGCCATATCGCGATGTCCCGGACTGTGTCGACGATGAATTCGAGGCCACAGCCACACACATGGAGTATATGAAGTGCGAGGAGCACAGGCTGGCGTCGTTCAATAACTGGCCTGCGAACATGTCACAACAACCTAGGGATCTCGCCCGCGCAGGTTTGTTTTACACTCACATTGACGACCGTGTTCAGTGTCCTTTTTGTTACGGTGTACTGAAAAAATGGTTGCCAAGCGACACACCATTAACTGAACATTCTAAACATTTTCCTCAGTGTCGATTTATTCGTGGTTTTGATGTTGGTAATGTTCCTATAAAGTCATTAGACGTGTCGCCATTGAATCGCTTATCCCATGTTAATTCTACAGTTCATAGACCTTCGCATTCTACGCGTTTTAATATCATGCCACCTCATAATACATATATCGTCTCTAGGAGTGGAAATAACACGGGGAGTGGATATAATACTGGGAGTGGATATAATACTGGGAGTGGCTGTGAAAGTACAGAAGCTGTGTATAATGTAAGCCCTAATAGAATCCCAGCTAATGCAGACCTAACAAAGGAAGATCAAAGACTGGCAACGTATACAGGCTGGCAGCAGGGCTGGCACCAGACTCCGGAGCAGCTAGCCAGAGCTGGGCTGTATTTCTTCCCGAGCGACGAGAAGCCAGACAGGGTGAAGTGTGCCTACTGTCATGGGAAGTTATACAATTGGCAACCTGGGGATGATCCGTGGATGGAGCATGCGAAATGTTTCCCCACCTGCCAATACATCAAGCTGTGTCTTGGAGCAGACACTATCAGAGATCTGCAGATTCCAGGCAATGGTGCCATTGCAAGTAGAAAGTAAGTATGACCACACTATTGCGACGTTATTTGGCTTGGTGACAGAAATACACAAAATTCCACTTTCCTTTTCCAAATAGATGAAGTTCTTCACCCCACCAGCTCTTTTCCACTTGGGTCGAAATAATCGGATTAGTTAGTGTTGTGTTGTACCTTTGAGCATATTGTTACCCGTTAATAGGGGATATGGTAGGATTACTCGAAAAATATGTATCGTAATAAGCACACCAAGTATTAACGCTGTAAAATCGTGCATTTTGGTTAGCATTCGGGAAGCGTTATATGAAACTGGCACTTGACAAGTGAACGGAAGTTAAACGAATATCATTATGGGATCATGTAAAAACCAGGAAACGAAAACAGAACGAAATATTATGAAATATTAAGGAAATGAAACAGAAATTCCCACGGTAAGTTCAGAATAACTCGACACACGAGTTTGTCACGAGTAATTCAACAATATGTCATCCAGGTGCTGTGCAGCTGTCGTCGCTATGTCGTTTTCTGTAATAATAATTCTTCCTACGATCAATGTTTAACGTGAGCCTACCATGCGCCTATTGCTATTTCACAGGGGTTTCATAAAGCACTAAAATAACTTTCTCTTACAGTAAACAGATATCGTTTGGTTTTATCTATGTACTGGTTCGGTTTGTTACGAATGTCCACGAAATATGGGTGACTAATGTGACACCACGCGTGTTTCATGTAATGTGTATAATGTTGCCAATAAGGCTGCGCAATATAACCGGTTTACCGGTATTTACCGGTTCAGACATGGAAACGATACGTATTGCGATACTCTGATCGAAAACAGGTATTTTGACATGCATTCTGAAAACTTCGTAACACTCGGAAATCTTCGGATATTTCCGTTTTTAAAATTGTTCCTTTCCTTGTTTTATTTGTGCCAAACATTATTTACATTTATATTTTGCCATGATTAAAAGTTTCCTAAAGCCTAATATAGCATTGTGATTTTGTTGTGATTTTGCTTTACAAATCAAGCATTAACTTGATTATAAGTATTTTTTTGTTAAAAATAATTCTTGCAATATATTGCAATACATATCGCAATACATGCTTTTGCATCGCAATATATCGCAATACGAAAATTCCCTGCAATACCCACCCCTAGTTACCAATGATCATATTAAACTTGTCGTGCAGGCAAACTAAGGACTTTTCAAATTGATATTAATTGTCAAAATGCGTGACATCCATACAGGATCAGGAGATATCCTTCACTGATCTATGTCATTCTGCTCCAGTGTTGCAGGACGGGTACAGGTGTCCACAACTTCTACAGTCACATCACCAACAAACCCGACGGTCTCATCAACCGTACCATCTACACCACGCACTGTGGACACGACCTCCAGGAACCCAGAGACACTATCAAACCTTCAGGGATACCTTCGTAGCGAACACGTGCAAGCTGTATTGGAGATGGGGTTTGGGGAGGATCTTGTCACACAGACTGTGGAACAGTGTTTAAGAGAACGACCTGGAGACTTCCCTCATGCAGCTGAACTTGCCTCTATGGTAATGGTTCTGGAAGACACACAAGCAGCAGCTGTCACTGCTCCAGCTCCGACCCCTCTTCAGAAACTGATGGCAGCTGGGAATTGTCAGACACATACCAACCCGATTCCAAAGACAGGGGTGGTTCCTTCCTTACCGGAAACATGCAGGGCGTCAGCTGGTGCTGCCCAAAGACATGGCAATACACCGAAACTGAACCCATCTAATCAGGCATCTGGACAGACATGGACGCGTTACAGAGACCCTGCCCATAATCCAGAGATAATCCGAGAGGAGAACACCCGACTTAAAGACCAATATCTTTGCAAGGTCTGTTTTGAGAATCAGGTCCGAGTGACCTTCACGCCCTGTGGACACCTGGCTTGTTGTGGACCCTGCTCCATGGCGATGTCTGAGTGTCCTATCTGTAGAACACCGATATCTGGATGTGTGCGTACGTTCTTCTAAACGTCTTTCTTCTACAAAGTCAGGCTGGTCTGTGACCCTCATCATCACACCACAGATCACACGCTGACAAATTACAGAGAGGGATCGAAAGTAACGACGACGTATGTAATGTTAGAAAATAACGAAGGATGATGAAGAAGAGATAAAGAGGTACAAGTTGAAGAAATGGCATATCCAGAGCATCGGAATAGAAAATGACGTACAGACCAGAACAAACAACGGGCTCACCATTAAAAATACTCCGTGCGAAGAACAGGAAATAAAGGGGACAGAAAGGTGACCTAAAAGTGCCATAAGATAAGTGTAGTTTCAGAGAGGGCAGATAGCAAAGCAACAGCGTCATAAGAAGTGAGTCAAAATCAGAACAGACAGCGTGGCCAAGCAGTCTTTCCAGAAAGAAGGTATGTGGATGTGTATAGTTTCAGAATGTAAAGTCACGAGTAAAACCGTGCAAACCTATTTCAAACGCAATTACACGCACGTACGCACGCACATACACACAGGTGAAGTCAAACCTGACCAAGCTACTGCTGTTTACAGTTGATGTTGTCATTCATTATTCTATTGTTATTTTTATATCTTGGTTTGTTGTTATGTGTTATAGTACCCATGCACAGAATGAATCACGTCATAACCGTGTTAGCAACATGATCTGTATTATTGTTTCTTGATATCAACCTGGCGTGTCCATGACAACTCTGACGCTCCATTGATTATGATTTGGATGTGTGATTCTAATCAGCAGACATTTAACATGTTTTATACAGGACTGGGCGAATGCTATTGAGGACATTGTTATATATGTGAAGCTTTGTTATAACACCAGCTGGAAAATGTACACATCATTGATACTGGAATGCTGCGCATGGGCAAGCTGCATATTAATGTATAGGTAATGTGATTCAAAACTCTTCAACGCAGAATGTATGATGAACAAATAAAGATGCTTCTAGCCAGGTTAAAACAACGTTGTTAGTTGTTTAACACCGGGCCAGCAATATTTCAGTTACATATCACAATAATAGATTATGTTTGTGATATATTTGCTTTCCTTTGCAGGTCTGTCACCGAACGAAAGTCTGTCACCGAAACACAGTTTCACAAACAACACAGGCAGACCTTGACCTTATCACAGGAGGTAGCAGGTATATGAAACATGTTGTCATGAAAACGTGACAAGGAAGATAGATTTAAAACTGGGCGATCACAAGACGGGGATTTATCGTGACAGCCGCCATTATGTAACTCACGTGTGTGTTACTCACTTGGTTTATAGTTCACATGATATTAAGTCATAAATCCCGACATGTGTGCAATATTCAACTTTCCCACTGAACTAGTCACATGTTTTCAAGCTATCACTATGTATAGTCACAACTGATATTTTTATCTAACTCACAAATTTACGACACTGTTGATTAGTGGATTCAGCTTCTGTTTTCTCGTTATCTGTAAGTCATCCGTGTCTTCATGCCTCCTGCTTCCTTAAACAACTTGTAGCGCCTTTGAGCAGTTGTACTGGATATCGGCGCTATACAAATGTATGTATGTATGTATGTATGTATGTTAGTGGGTAGGTTATCGGTGTTCGGATGTAAGGCTACGTGAGCTGTGTGGGCTTTTTACACCCACGAGTTTGATGTTACTGACACTAGAGAGACAAACTGGTTATAAGCCAGGATTTTTATAAAGGGATACATTTTCTGCCGTCAGCGTATCTGTATTGTTTATCACTGTTTTAGTAAGTTTCATCAGTATTGTTGATGATTCAATGTCAGTGTGGAAATGTCAGTGGGCAAGCATATAATGTCTTCAGCAACTGATCGTATTTGGTACACTTATCATACTGAGATTATAATGTAGGACTAAATCACGTTCCGAAAAGGTAAATATACTATCTATTCGACAGTTTTGTACAGTAATGTGATTTGTGTTACGGAACGTATACCTGTTGGCGATGTACAGTTATACAAGTACACAGTCACTTCGGAACAACAAGAATGCATAGAGGTTTGACCCTAACCATAAAATATGCCATAAACCCTTACTTAGAGGTTATACACATGTAAAATCTCCCTGCTTCATTATTCCGCCGTGTATACTGCCTTTGAGTATGTCCCATTTGTGATATATAACACAATTCATGTATGCAAAGAGAGTTGACAAGTTGTGGATACGTGAGCTCAATCCTTTCCTGTGTGAAAAATGTTTTCAATTTCTTACGAATATTAAAATCTTATAATTCTACAGTATGGTGTTTCTAGGCGTTTGACGTGGTTGTGTAATCTATCGGAACGCCCACATTAAGTATGTGTTCAGGGAAACTCAAAAAGCTCTGCTTTATCCAGTTTTACCAGTTTGTTGAAAAGCACGCCGACGCCCCAGTGACATTGCTAGCTGCTTTACAAGTATTCTCGAGCTTGAAAGCCATGATGGGCGTTTCCAGGTTCATGTAAGCAGTTTCAATTTAAACTATACACGCAGGGTTCGCCTGATGGCCCAAAGCGTGACGTATAGTCTGAACTTTGGACTTTGGACAGACCAGTAAACACTGTATTTCCCTATACGTCCCACTTATCATGAGGTATCAACTAGTTTCATTGATATCACCCCAATGGAGGAAGGAAATAGCACTTCGTGTCTAGTGCATGATGTCATTTCCTTGAGGAAAATTGTGCTTGATGAAAATGGGCCGTGGACATATGACACTATGGACTCCAACACACATGGCTACTCGCATTGTTGTAGGACGGTATTAAAGTGAAAGACAATACTTACAAATCTTATCTAAACCTGCATAACGTAGGGGACACATTTGCAGGAGGGTGACCAACTATTTTTTGCACAGGGACGGTAGATAATCGTTCGTTACACGGTGCGGTTTGATTCCCCACATGAATACAATGTAAGAAGCAAGCACCTGGTGTCGGTGTTGTATTAAGTTTACATACCAAGCAGCGTGAGACAATACTCACTCACTCACAATCTGAAATTGACCAGTCTCTATCATTTGTTTTTGTTTAACACATCACTCAGCAATATTCCTGGTATATGGCACCGATGTGTAAATAATTCAGTCTGGACCACAAAACCCAGTGATCAACAGCATGAACATCGATCTGCGCAATTGTGATATAATGGCATGCATCTCCCAAGTCGGTGAGCCTGACCACCAGATTCTGTTAGTCACCTCTTACAACAAGCACGGGTTGCTGAAGACCAATTCTAACCCGGATCTTCACAGGTTATAAGTCGCTGTTAAGCTATACGTAATTACACAATCGCCGAATCGTAATTAACTGGCGGTTGTGTCGTAATTACTCTGTAACTGGGAAACTAATGACTGAGATATGTACTGCTCAGTTAGCCTAAATGATAACGATAGCGCTACAGTATGATAAGGCGTAATGACGTGACACAAATACTGCGCTGCAGAAACGATGCAGCAGGAAGGTGCGATGTCGAAACTACGCCATAGTTTAACGCCCTCACGAGTTACACCTACGTAAAACACGATTAAACTGATTGATCCTGCTCCACAACATGGCATGAACTCTTGTATATATAAATAATCATACACACACGCACACACACACACACACACACACACACAAAACACACAGACAACACAACGCAAGAGCCTTGTTGCTTTATCGGGATACTTCCAACAAGATCATTAGACTCTTAGTCAAAAAAAGGTTTCAGCTATATTTAACTTAAGGTAGACGTATGGAGGACATCATTGACGAAACCAATTTCGTTTCAGGCGAACATTTGACTTGCCTTTGCATGTGTTTGTGGTGGGATCCACCGATGACACACTAGTGCCAAATTTGCCAGAAAGACATCCCTTATTCTAACAGTTCGTAAGAAAGGCAAGTCCAAGCATGTCCAAAGCATTACCAACATACAAGACTGGGAAGGTGGGCAGAGAACGATCATAAGCAATCAACCACAAGCAGAATATAACAATAATGCTTCGAAGTATTATCAATGTCACACTGACGTTCTCCGACAAATTACAAACAAATGCAAAACGGTTTCAAAGCAATTATTCCACTGAGTAAAGTGATCACGAAAACAAGTCTCGCGCAAAGCTTGAAACTTGAAAATTATTTGGCACATTGATCTGGACCACAGCAGCTAAGCCAACAGCATTTACCACCCACCTGAGAGCTTACACGCAGTCGACCAAACAGAATATCGAGAGAAAGTCCCTGTTGGGGGCCTGTTGGCCAGCAATACCATATGGATGTAATGCCAAAAAAGGCGTTGTCCGTTTCTCCAAAGAGCTGCCAACGTCAATGAAGTGAGGCTGTTCCGTCGTTATATAGACGTCGATAAAGCCATGTTCACATAAAAGGTTTGTTGCCTCTTCTCCAGGAACCAATGGGACTGAACCAAGTTAGAACAAGACAAAACTCTGTGTCCCGGAAAGACATTAAAAGAGTCCAGCGACATTATAGGTGGGTCTACAGACAGTACTCACACAGTTGATGTTGCTTCGAAACGTTTGGTCAAACCAGAAACAGACTCTGCCAAAGACATCAGACGAAGACCGCACATTCATGAATTGGAACGTTGAGAAATGCCTGAGTGAAAAATCAGTTTCATAAAATACCTCACAATGTCACAAATATCAAGAACAACCAACAGTTTCTGTTTTCTGTACAAACACAATTCCGTCTAGGTTGTTCAGTTATAGGCATGGGTTGGAGAACAGAATTCGACTACCTAGTTCCACATGGGTATAATGGTGTCCCCCGCCGTGAAATTGCTGGAATATTGCTAAATGCAGAGTAAAACTAAACTCACTCACTCACTACGTACAAATCTGCCTTTAAAGATTCAGGACAGTTTGTCAGAAAAGATCAAAAATGCCATCTGACGTTTATAGAGAAACAATATTTGAATCTGACTTCATCATTGATAACATCTACGTAGAATTTACATTTATAAATAAGTATGGGCACCAAGTGTGCTACTCTCACGGCCGGTCTCGCTATGCATATGAATCTGAATATTTGCTCGGGTTGGCAAATCAAACTAAGGTAATTTGGCCTAGAAGTAAATCTTAAACTTCAGGTATACAGGTGATCTGTTGTCGCTCGATAACCAAATAGCCAGTTCCCTACCACTGATGTACAAAAGAGCGTCAAAGCTTTCAAAATGTTTTATGGCAGACATGATTGGAGATTTTTGATTTAGTGTATTTCTGCCCCTTTTATATTTGACTTTAAATATTACACACTCACATAATACGGTAACCTTTCTTCCTATTCTTTTTATGGTTTTGTTGATATTAAGTATTTTTCAATTTTGTTAATGAAGCAAAGTCTACAACTAACATATCGTTTATAGATATGACCCCTACTTCACTGAGTCATAAAGAAACTCATTTTAATGCGAACATGTTTCAGTGTTTCTTGTAGGCCATCGTAGATCCCTCATTACCGTCAAAAATAAGAAAATTCTAAATAGAAAATGTGCACACAATGATCTTTCACTGAAGTGGAAGAGTAAACCCAGCGTGGAACGACCTTATTACCCGTTTGAGAGCTGTACAACATTGATAACACACAGTATTGTAAGAGTTACATCCCTTGTTTACATGACCCAGCAAGTGTGTGTGTTCAGTCGACTCTCTGCTTCTCGACTGTGTGACTTTGACCTACATTTGTGCGAGACGGTTCACTGCGAGTGGAGGGTCCAGTGTGATAGCCTATTAGGGTTGTCTCTTGCCTCTCAGTGACTAGTATATGCTGGAACAGGGTCCAGTGTGATATCCCATTAGGGTTGTCTCTTGCCTCTCAGTGACTAGTATATGCTGGAACAGGGTCCAGTGTGATATCCCATTAGGGTTGTCTCTTGCCTCTCAGTGACTAGTATATGCTGGAACAGGGTCCAGTGTGATATCCCATTAGGGTTGTCTCTTGCCTCTCAGTGACTAGTATATGCTGGAACAGGGTCCAGTGTGATATCCCATTAGGGTTGTCTCTTGCCTCTCAGTGACTAGTATATGCTGGAACAGGGTCCAGTGTGATAGCCTATTAGGGTTGTCTCTTGCCTCTCAGTGACTAGTATATGCTGGAACAGGGTCCAGTGTGATATCCTATTATAGGGTTGTCTCTTGCCTCTCAGTGACTAGTATATGCTGGAACAGGGTCCAGTGTGATATCCCATTAGGGTTGTCTCTTGCCTCTCAGTGACTAGTATATGCTGGAACAGGGTCCAGTGTGATATCCCATTAGGGTTGTCTCTTGCCTCTCAGTGACTAGTATATGCTGGAACAGGGTCCAGTGTGATATCCCATTAGGGTTGTCTCTTGCCTCTCAGTGACTAGTATATGCTGGAACAGGGTCCAGTGTGATATCCCATTAGGGTTGTCTCTTGCCTCTCAGTGACTAGTATATGCTGGAACAGGGTCCAGTGTGATATCCCATTAGGGTTGTCTCTTGCCTCTCAGTGACTAGTATATGCTGGAACAGGGTCCAGTGTGATATCCCATTAGGGTTGTCTCTTGCCTCTCAGTGACTAGTATATGCTGGAACAGGGTCCAGTGTGATATCCCATTAGGGTTGTCTCTTGCCTCTCAGTGACTAGTATATGCTGGAACAGGGTCCAGTGTGATATCCCATTAGGGTTGTCTCTTGCCTCTCAGTGACTAGTATATGCTGGAACAGGGTCCAGTGTGATATCCCATTAGGGTTGTCTCTTGCCTCTCAGTGACTAGTATATGCTGGAACAGGGTCCAGTGTGATATCCCATTAGGGTTGTCTCTTGCCTCTCAGTGACTAGTATATGCTGGAACAGGGTCCAGTGTGATATCCCATTAGGGTTGTCTCTTGCCTCTCAGTGACTAGTATATGCTGGAACAGGGTCCAGTGTGATATCCCATTAGGGTTGTCTCTTGCCTCTCAGTGACTAGTATATGCTGGAACAGGGTCCAGTGTGATATCCCATTAGGGTTGTCTCTTGCCTCTCAGTGACTAGTATATGCTGAAACAGGGTCCAGTGTGATAGCCTATTATAGGGTTGTCTCTTGCCTCTCAGTGACTAGTATATGCTGGAACAGGGTCCAGTGTGATATCCCATTATAGGGTTGTCTCTTGCCTCTCAGTGACTAGTATATGCTGGAACGTAAAGTAATTACATCTCTATTATACAGTCCGAACATAACATATTTTCTCTGTCCTACAGAAAAGTTGACAACAGTTTAACTCTAGTTGGTCGTAGTGTATCACACCTCATACTATGGACTTCGGGCGGAGACTGACATAATTTTATTCCGTCCCACTACAGACGATGTGCAAACATGTATCTTCTGAACGGTGTCTGTAACGACATTGGTAATTATGTTAGTCAGGCATTTGCTTAAAGTCGACTTACCATGATAATACCTTGTACTCAATTTTAAGTTACATGCATCAATTAAATGAGAATACGGCAAGCTAGACGTGACAATACAACTCACCAACTTCGAGTTTTCGTCAGGACAACGCACCAAACAACGCAATTCAGGAGGTTCTTAAGTGACGTTTAATTTGGTTGTTGGTCGAGATTAGATAATTGCAATTCTATTACGACTACATATTACGTGAGGCGACGCCTTCGTGAAGCTAAGGCTGAGTATGACACGGAGTTGCGTCCCTTCGTCGCAGCAGAACCCTATGATCGTGGGTTCGAATCTCGGCTCGTCCGGCTAAGGGTTCTAGGTCAGCATCATATCTATGCTCGCAGGTGTCTGAATAGTGATAAACATCGTGGACTTTATTTCGTCATCACAATAGACATTAACTTACATCTTGGAAATGTGGTCAGTTCTGTTATGTTAATAGAGTGGTCAGTCAAGACATAGAAACAGCAATACATGAAGTAGAGCGGAGAACATCCCCGTGGACAACCTTCAGCAACCCATGCTTATCGTACGAGGTGACTAACGGGATCGGGTGGTCAGGCTCGCTAACTTCGTTGACCTGTCATCGTTTCCCATTTGTGTAGATCAATGCTCATAATGTCAGTCAATGGATTGTGTGGTTCAGACACGACGAAACGTTATTTTAGCTGAATTCCATTTAATATATGTATATCTACTAATGTTGCTTCAACAAACACACGTGAACTATACAGTTAAACCCCATTAATCCAATCACCCGTGAAGATTAGAATTGGTCTTCAGCAAACCATGCTTGTGATCGGGTGGTCAGGCTCGTTGACTTGGTTGACACATGCCATTGCATCCCAATTGCGTAGATCAATGCCGATGATGATCACCGGGTTGTCTGGCCGAAACACGATTATTTACAGACCGCCGCCATTTAGCTGAAATATTGCTGAGTTTGACAACAAACCACGAGGACATATCAATAAATAAAACAGGAAGAATGTTCAGCGGGAAGTGCGTCAAACACCTCCATTGATAAAAGTTGACAGCGGCTATTTGTGACGTCACACTGTCGTGAATGAGTCGTGAATGCCAGTACAGCTGTCGCTCTCGGCATTGGGTTATCATTGAGGACCACAGCTGTATTGATTCTAATTCAAACCAACAGGGAAGACCTGGTCTTTACAAAGGGTGTTTACGTAGCATGGGTTTCTCAACAACAGAGGGAGGAGGACATCCAGAAGACAGTGTATACTTATACTACAGTTTGGAATACAGTTGTGATACAATTTGGAATATTACTCATAATATGTAAAATATGCAGGGGAATACATAATTGTCGTTAGTTTGAAACTTTGCCTATTGTTATTGAAACATTAAACCCTAGTCGTAATTGGTTAAATGAAGGCGCCTGATAGATTTCCCGGCCGGTCATATGTCATAATTGGGATTACACTTTCTCCGTCAAGTACAGATTCTAGTATGTGTTGGCTTAGTATTCACAATTAGCAATTGGAAACAATACCTGACTGTCAGTCAACCGGCATCGAATGGACCAACAGCAGATTATTGACTGTAAATGTTACATCATAGGTTATCAATACAATCCACAATATAACACAGATTGTTAACTGTAAATGTTACATCATGGGTTATCAATACAGTCCACAATATAACACAGATTGTTAACTGTAAATGTTACATCATGGGTTATCAATACAGTCCACAATATAACACAGATTGTTAACTGTAAATGTTACATCATGGGTTATCAATACAGTCCACAATATAACACAGATTGTTAACTGTAAATGTTACATCATGGGTTATCAATACAGTCCACAATATAACACAGATTGTTAACTGTAAATGTTACATCATGGGTTATCAATACAGTCCACAATATAACACAGATTGTTAACTGTAAATGTTACATCATGGGTTATCAATACAGTCCACAATATAACACAGATTGTTAACTGTAAATGTTACATCATGGGTTATCAATACACTCCACTGTTGTAACACAGATTATTGACTGTAACTGTTACATCATGGGTTATCAATACAGTCCACAATATAACACAGATTGTTAACTGTAAATGTTACATCGTGGGTTATCAATACAGTCCACAATATAACACAGATTGTTAACTGTAAATGTTACATCATGGGTTATCAATACAGTCCACAATATAACACAGATTGTTAACTGTAAATGTTACATCATGGGTTATCAATACAGTCCACAATATAACACAGATTGTTAACTGTAAATGTTACATCATGGGTTATCAATACAGTCCACAATGTAACACAGATTGTTAACTGTAAATGTTACATCATGGGTTATCAATACAGTCCACAATGTAACACAGATTGTTAACTGTAAATGTTACATCATGGGTTATCAATACAGTCCACAATATAACACAGATTATTGACTGTAAATGTTACATCATGGGTTATCAATACAGTCCACAATGTACCACAGCGGCAGGATGATCCACACAATCCCCCAACATCCCAGATGACATATAACGAGAGAAAGTAATGCAATGACCCACCGAGACCATATCCTTTACGAATAACAGTCCCGTCGAATTCCATGTAACTGTACTATAAACAATACCTGCCGTTGTTACTTCACTTGTGTTACCTTCCCTTGTGTTGAGCTGATAGAAAATAGGGGATAACCCCCTCGAGTTTACCTGCGTGTGAACCTGGCGTTATTTCACCTGACATCCTGGTAATTGGGGAACCCCCCTCGCGTCACGTAGCTGACATAACCCAGCCCTAAAAAGAATGTCACAAGACAAACATACCGCTGTAATTTCGAGGTACTTCACTCAGAACGGTGCAGAACAGTATTTCTTGAAATTCAACCAAAGGTTGTATATGAGCATTTTATATACATACCTTCACTTACAAAATTGGCAAAAGTACAGGCAAAACATTCGGGAAATTACTTTACAGCAACGATATATCTAGACAATACATATATGAATTCAGAATATATTTATTTTTCAAGTGTTATGTTTTGTGAGATAATAATAGCATTCTTAGTGTGTATTTTGGGCCATTCATAAACTGATTTGGGAAAATGTACGCTGTTGGAGAAAGGCTTCCCATGTAAAGGTCTTCCCATTCATATGTCATGGCTACCTTAGCACGGAAGTCCGTCGCGGGATCATTGTATTGCCTTATTAGGTTACATGCTTGATGACCAGATATTTATTGGTATTTAACTGAAAATGTGAGATAATACTGTTTCCTGGTTGTGGTCATACGTATAAGACGAAACGGGAACTGTTAAAGTCCCCTGGATAATTTGTTGATGACGAAACGTCGTGACTTTCCGTTAGTCTAAAAATAACTTTCCACACGGTATATAACAAGGGCAGCTTGACAGCAAGATTACAGACTGGTCGGACCTGAATGATAATAGATATACCGAATGAGCAAAAATGACAGCTGTTATGGCAAGATCCTATGGACTCCACTCAGAGTATACATTTAAACGAATACTCGGTCACGAAGGTAGCGACTGCCTCGACGACGACTGCGATATCACGGCAGAACAAAGTACTATGAAATCAGAGACAAAGAGACTAGATTCTTTCACACTCTGGCCAGCGCGGGCAACTCAAACTCCTGCAGTTTTAGCAAAAGCTGGATTTTATTACACAGGAGTAGGGGATAGGGTAGAGTGTCCATTTTGTTATGGTATTTTAAAGAAATGGCATACGGATGATGATCCTTTAATTGAACATGTGAAACATTTTCCTTACTGTAAATTCATTCAGGGAGATGATGTTGGTAACATCCCGATAGTTGACGGACAACAGAAGACACGTGCATCTTGTGGAACAGTCGATAGCAAGGGAGTTGAAGCTGACTTTACGCGAGAGGAAGTGAGACTGAACTCATTTTCAAGATGGCCGCCAAATGTGACTAAAAAACCAGAAACCCTTGCCCGAGCAGGGTTCTACCACATACCATGCAAGGAGAAACCAGACCGAGTGAAATGTGCCTACTGCCGAGGGAAGTTATACAACTGGGCCAGTGGAGACGACCCCTGGATAGAGCATGCCAAGTGCTTCCCGACTTGCCCCTATATAAGGCTATGCATAGGGGAAGAGGTTATCAATGATCTATTAGGCCAACAACACAGGTAGGATGATATATTTTAAACACAGCTTCAATTTCTTACTATAACAAGACTTGACATGACCACATCCGTGGGCTTCGCACAAGTAGTAAACGCCTATATAAACATGACTCTTCTGTTCATGATTTAAGTCTCAGGAAGGGTGCTTGAATATCTTTCTCCCCTTTCCCTTACTGCATGTATAAATCATATGTTATACATGTTATATACTTGTAAAGGCGTCGTTGAAAGGTGTTGATCCTGTGATATTATTCAATTTTATCATGCATTTGTAAATTCTTTCAGACTAGAAAATACGGAAGAAGCTGAGGTACCAAACACTTCTGAAGCGGGCCTAAATACAACAGATGATGAAGTAACAAAACTCATGCAAAGTGATGCTGTTCAAGCCGTTCTCCAGATGGGATTTACGTCAAGTCTCGTGAGAACTGCTCTACACAAGTGGTACACAGGGCATAATTGTGACTCAGTTTCAGCACAAGAGCTGGCCATTTTCGTTTTAGAAATGGCAGAAGAAGGAACAGGATTAGCATCAAACAACGTAAATGACACCGGAAGTACAACGCCAAACAGACGTGGTACAAGCCATGAGGTCACCATGAGCAATTCAGCATCTGACAGGAACCAGATTTCAGGTCGAACATTATGGGATATGACACAGACTGTTGACCCATTGAGAACGGCTCGAGACAGAAATGCTCCCATCAGAGAACGGCATCTGTGTAAAGTGTGTATGGAGAACCAGCTGAGGGTGACGTTCATTCCATGCGGTCACCTGGCCTGTTGTGGCCCCTGCTCTATGGCCATGTCCGACTGTCCGATCTGCCGGACACCCATTACGTCGTGTGTCAGGAGTTACTTTTAGACTACATTGTGTTGTGTGACCAACCTGTCAAGACTTCCGAGGTAAAATACTTGAGCACAAGGTAATAATGCATCGAAAGACATGCTTCATATTCATGTGAGGGTTCAATTTGTAGCAACAAAACCTTTTAACAAGCTCTTGGAACGAACACTCCGACCGTATGTTTGAGTTAGATGCACAGGTAACGTTCGTGAAGAATATTTGTATATTCCTACATGCAGGGGATCTTTGAAAGGATCTCCATACGTTAGATATATACAAGCACCTGGTCAGCACATGGTGGTAGTGAGTGAGTGAGTGAGTGAGTGAGTGTGGTTTTACGCTTCTTTTCGCAATATTCCAGTAATATGACGGCGGGATAGTTTGGTTTGTGCCTCGGAGCACCTTGCCTAACCCTTGCTAGTCTGGGGCTGATACCTTCTTCACTTTCGTCTCTGGACCAATGTTTGTACAGCTGAGGTCACCTGAAGTGGATTCAGCCATCAGTATACCCAACTGTAATAAATTATGGACATTGTTGAACAGCTTGCTCAGAATGACTGTCAGTCAATGTACAACACAATTAACAGTATCATTAACAAGTAATGGGATCTATGAATAATGGCCATTAAGTGAGGGATAGAAATACAGTACAAGGTCACATGTTCATTTGGACAATGTTTGTCCTGACTTGGTCGCTGTTACACGTGCATTGCAATATGAAGTGGATGATTGTGCGTGAGGAAGAATTATGTGGAGGAGTTTTGCTCAACTGCTGTTTGCATCTGTGTATTTGTTTTAGCCTCATAAGACATCGCTATAAATTTATGGTCCCTATACAATGTGACGTAATGAGACCTCAACGGACATGCAGTTCGCGGTGTTTATGTGATGGTGGCGTTTGTACGGAAGTGCACAGTAAAACTTTTTGTTTTATGTGATTGTTTTATATGATTTACATAAGTTTATATTGTTGTGATACGTTATGGGTAGGCTGTTATGTTCGTCATTTCAGTATATCATTCAAAGACATATATTGTACATATTTGCAGAACATACTTTTCATTATCTTGTTTTTATGACAAGTTACGGGTATTAGTTAGTATTTCATTTTCTATTACACTTGTTACGTGTTTTATTCTTGTTTTGAAACATTAATCTATATGCTTAGAAACATTAATCGCTTTTGCTTTTAATGTCTTGTTAGATATTTGTTGTTGTGACGTGTGATCAGGATATTGTTTTCTGTCTCCTTCTGTGTATTTGCTTTTGTTTTTATATTTTGTGTCATAAAACGGTGATAACGGGTAGACAACAATGACGAATGCTTCTCCAACTCGGGGATGTGTACACAATTGTATGCATGGACAATGCAATAATTGGTTACATTATATATGCTATGGTGATTTTAAGCAGCTTTACCAAAGGCATTTACGTCTTTGTGTCATTTAGACACATAAACATTACATCTATTGTGAAATAGGTTCATTGTTTATTTTGTTATTTTGTTTCATGTTAAAGTATCTTTCATCTCATGTTATGGGTTTATTGAAATATATAATTGAAAACCTTATACATTGAATTGCTCAATATGATCTTCAATCTTATGATACGGTGGACATGCTTCCACACCTAACACAGTGGAATATAAACGACCGAATGATTAAGAGTCGACTGAATGCCTATATCATGAGTATGTGCCTGTGAATCACTATCAAATAGTCATTGTACCAGATGACTGCGAACAGGCGAGCCTATTCTGTCACCGGTGGCACCCGTCATAACACTTGCAAAGGCAAGTTAAGAGACCCAGAAATAATACATCTGGTAGAACATAATGTTTGCACTGGCAAGCCAGTTTGGGAAATGACCCCCACACGTCTATCATATAACATTCGAAAGCTTCGCTGAGGCCTGTGACCTTGATCCAACAACTTTTGAGAAAGAACTTCTTTGAGTGGTATTTTGAAGTTGGTGTGATGAACAACGGGGAGCGATTTATGTATATATATAACTTCTTTATTATAATATGAGGGACATGCCGGTTACTACTAACACCGTTATGAAGCACTTATGTTGAGACACTTAAGTTCATTATTACTATTTTTAGCATGAGAAGCAGTACCATTATCACACCTACGTAATACCTCTACACATTAAACATAGACATCTAAATTGTTCACCTCCAAGCTAAAACCGATCACCACAGGATGCATTTACCGTAGAGACAAAGAGGATCACTACATCAACCATTTCCCAGGCTAATTTACGAATCAGACTTATGTATGTGTGGTTTTAATGTCAGGATGATAGTAACACCAAACAACTACATCAACTCATGTTGAATAAATCTCTTGACTACATCCTTTGACAAACAAATCAGCTCATGTCATAACGATTTATGATAACGCTGAGTCTGTATACAGATGTGTATGCCACACAATAAGTTCTCGAGTATCACAGATAACATATCTAATATTCTTGAGGTCAATCAAGTCCATCCCAATTTCGACGAAACTATTGTGATCATTAGGGAGTACTGGGATATCATCTACAGTCACGCAATATTTCGTATGATATATGCAGATGTTCAAAAGAAAGTACACGCCTGGTGCTTTGGAATTATTTTTTTTCCAATCAACGATCCTGTCGTAAATATTTTTATTTTTTTTATTGCGTACGTGTTGCTAAACCTCCACAGATATCGTTCCTAAAAGTAACGTTACTGGACGATTCAGTTGGTGTTGACGGGTTAATGACATACCCCGAAATGGTCGCTAGGCCAGGTCGCTCACAGCAACTATCGGGTCGTCACTGTGATTCTCCTGATGTGTGACACAACGCTCTTGCTACTGATGACGTCACTGTTGGAAAAATTCGCAGGTGATGGTCATCTTGCCGGTGATCACTCTCAGGCGTCCACTTCTGGGACTGTCAGATGCCTGGTCATCAGTCATTAGTCTGATATTGGTCTGCCTTGTAGAGCCGGGTGAAGATCTTGCACTATGGCTGCGTAACTTCCTCCACCTGCGACATTCCAAAGGCTCATTGTCTCTTTGCTTCTAAAATGTTGGCATTTTGATGTGTGCCTTTAACACCACTTACACTATCAACAACACTAACAGCACTGTAGTGGATATCTGTGGCGTTTTGACAACACATAAGTCACTTGTAAGTCACAATCAAAACACTTTTCAAAATATTCTATATTCTTCCTTAAAAACAATCCCAATAACCAGGTTGGTACTATCTTCTGTACATCAGTTCAGTTCCATCCTAGATTTTATCGGAAATATTTAGTCTTGCATTCATCAACACAGCGCTGATATGTCCTACCATGTGAGAACCTATATATTTCCTGTGGAAACGTAACTAAAAATGGAACTTCCTCACCATTAATCACCACCATGAATGCGGATTGTCTGTGACAGCCTGGTCATATCCAGCCTGGTCCTGTGTCGGTATGGGATACGATTCCGCTTATTACTATAGCTGACGTATGCTTGCATAGTCCTTGTCAGAGTTGTATCATACAGACTATGGTATACCAACAGGCACATCTAACACTGGCACAAAGAGAGATTCAGACAGATATGACAGACGGTATATGATCGGGCATATCAGTAAAAACAACAACCGAAAAACTCATTTTCATAAACGTAATACATTTTCACTGTTCGATTCCGTTCATTTCAGATGCATTTGGTTTTTAATCAATATCAGTGAATAGAAGAACTGTGGGACAGAGATCCAGGGAAAGTAAAAGAATTTACATGTGACAAGATAATTCAGCATGTCGCCATCCTCGTTATCAATTCGTCATGCCTTTCTGCTGGTCTGTTTGTGCTCCTCCCGTTGTCTGCCCGTCATGTTAAGCTTGCCCATCCTGCCGGCTTTTAAAGTCAGATTAATTCTGCTGAACTGGTAATTCTTTTATTATCTTGACAACTCTGCTGGACAACTCTGCTGGACATGTACACTCGTAGGTGTACATAGATCGGGGGTCGAACGATACATTATTGTCCAGGGTTGTGTAACAGTGGGCGTACTTCACTGAATGTTTTTCCAGTCGGTACAACACACTGGCCAGTTGCATCATCATAACATTTCATGTTGCGCAATCAGTTGGCCACACTGATATGTTACACAATCAGTAGGTCACATTTGTATGTTGCACAGTCAGTACGTCACATTTTATTAGATGTTGCACAAGTGGTTGGTTACATTGAGAAGTTGCACAATCAGTAGACTGGGTCATATTTAGATGTTGCATAGTCAGCACGTCACGTCACGCTAAGATATAGCTAAGATACATAGCGTTCACGTTCATGTCAGTGAACGCTATGTATCTTAGCTAGCTGAGATATTGAACTCTCACAATCAAAACACGTTGAATATACAATCTCTCCAAGTATTACATACCCAGTGATATCGGTAGGCTTATGTTGTCAGTAAAACACTCCACTATGCGCTACACTAATTCATTCATAAGTAGCAATCGTACGTTCAGCGGACCTGTGCTATACATAGCTAGGGAAATAAATTGAGGCGGAGCGCCTGTTTGTAAGACCCACTCGGTATTTGCCGGTAGTCGCTGATACAAAATACATAATTAAACCAAGCGATATTGTGGGTGTTTCTCCAAAAGTATATATGGCACTGGTTTTATTTTGAATAATACGTCAAGAGCTGGTAATTGCCATAAGTAACGGAACCTCCCTTGTTACGCCAACGGAAATACCCAGTCTATTTATAGAATTGGGAAACCACGCTTTCTCAATCGTCGCTTATATAGCCCGTTGACTTCGCGGAACAATCAATGAACTCGTGGACGGGCTCAGCAAGATGACAGAAGTGATTTCAGTGTCTTGTGAAATCTATCCAAGATGTATATATGCATCCCCTGGAGCATCCGGCCATATCAGCTGTTTCACTAACGACGAACGGTCAATGGCAGGGGCCTCTCACATGAAATCAGAAATAAATAGACTAAACTCGTTCAAATACTGGCCAGCGTGGGCACCTCAAAGTCCAGCTACTTTGGCTAAGGCTGGACTCTATTATACTGGAACAGGGGATAGGGTAGAGTGTCCGTTTTGCTTTGGTATTTTAAAGAAATGGCAATTTGGTGATGTTCCTCTTCAAGAACATCGGACGCATTTTCCTTACTGTAATTTCGTTCAGGGGAACGATGTTGGTAACGTAGCAATAGATGATCATAGCAGAGAAAAGACCTGGTCAGTACTTCCACGTGCAACTCTGCAAACTGAAGATGATTGTGACTACACACGAGAGGCCACAAGGTTAGACTCATTTTCAAGATGGCCGCCAAATGTGACTCAAACTCCAGAAACCCTTGCCCGAGCAGGGTTCTACCACATACCATGCAAGGAGAAACCAGACCGAGTGAAATGTGCCTACTGTCGAGGGAAGTTATACAACTGGGCCAGCGGAGACGACCCCTGGATAGAGCATGCCAAGTGCTTCCCGACTTGCCCCTATATAAGGCTGTGTTTTGGGAACACTACCGCTGACCAACAGAGCAATCCAAACAAGAGGTAAGTTGGTATACATCAACCTTATGCAGGATGTATTAATTCTATCAATGTCGTAAACAATCATAAAATCCAAAGTGTAATTATACATAATATAATAACATATTATAAACAATATGAACCTTCAAACTATTTTAACATATACAACATAATTTAATTTTTCGCCTATTTTCAGAAATGAGAACCAGAGGGAAACGGTCCATGAATTAAACTCTTCTGAAGCGGAAGTAAATACAACAGATGATGAAGTAACAAAACTCATGCAAAGTGATGCTGTTCAAGCCGTTCTCCAGATGGGATTTACGTCAAGTCTCGTGAGAACTGCTCTACACAAATGGTACACAGGACGTAATTGTGACTCAGTTTCAGCACAAGAGCTGGCCATTTTCGTTTTAGAAATGGCAGAAGAAGGAACAGGATTAGCATCAAACAACGTAAATGACACCGGAAGTACAACGCCAAACAGACGTGGTACAAGCCATGAGGTCACCATGAGCAATTCAGCATCTGACAGGAACCAGATTTCAGGTCGAACATTATGGGATATGACACAGACTGTTGACCCATTGAGAACGGCTCGAGACAGAAATGCTCCCATCAGAGAACGGCATCTGTGTAAAGTGTGTATGGAGAACCAGCTGAGGGTGACGTTCATTCCATGCGGTCACCTGGCCTGTTGTGGCCCCTGCTCTATGGCCATGTCCGACTGTCCGATCTGCCAGACACCCATTACGTCGTGTGTCAGAAGTTACTTTTAGACTACATTGTGTCTTCTTGTTTGTTGATGATCTACATTTGCTGCAATATGTCCGACAATGCTCAAGACACGTGTAACTATCGAAAGGAACGTATGTGCACAAGAACGAGGCGTCTGTAGTGTTGATTAAGAAAGAAGTGACCCAGAGGCAATGCTCATAGAGACAGATGGAAACCGATAATACAGAAGCATCTCTTCAGTCCTGGTGGTTTCCAAGGACGCGCATTTTTGTATCACCTCCATTCATCCAAATCAAAGATTCTTTTGTCCAGTTTATACACTTCCCAAAGTTTGATTGTGTTCCTGATCTCATTTGTTTTATTTATTTTATCTGAACATATATTTCATATCACATTTGTGCCAATTTTGCTTTGTTGTATGTTTCCTGATTGGTAATGATATGTGGTATCTGTGCCACTCTGATACACATGCTCTTGCATCGTTGTGAATTCATGTTTGTTGTTGCTGTTATGTTATTGTGATATCATACCATTACGTTGGTGCAATGCTGATTTATTCATTGATTTTTAAAGTGGAATATAGTCATTGATCTTGGAATGTAGTGGTGGTGGGGTAGCCTAGTGGTTAAAGCATCCGCTCGTTACGCCGAAGACACAGGTTCGATTCCCCACATGGATACAATGTGTGAAGTCCATTTCTGGTGTCCCCCGTCGTGATATTGCTGGAACATTGCTAAAAGCGGCTTAACACCATACTCACTCACTCAATATCGGAATGTATATTGTTCTGTGTCTTCCACCATGATATTGATGTCATGAACTATGACAAAAAATCAGATACGGGTTTCAAATTGTTGCGATCATTCTCCACAAACTTCCTTGTTGTTCTTTCATATCATTTTTGGTTGTGGCTTGTTTGTGTTTTTTGATACTTTTATGTATACCTATAAATAAATATGTGCATCCTTAAATGTTTGAAAGGTTTTAATCAGACACTGTCAAGGAATTTTACAATAAAATATATTTTGATAGATATATTTGAGTTGTATTTTCTTATAGGAATAATAGAACTGCAATGTTTTAGTTTATACCATTCGTGACCAATTCGTGTTATTCCGGGACAAGCCGAATAGCGAGGTTACAGAAAGAGGCGAGTGGTGACGAATGAGTTTATACGTGTGATTTGGTCTTTTGTTTGCGTAAGAATTTGTTTCAGTGCTTTTTGGAAGAGAGAGCATGTATATGTGTGTGCGCTTGTTTATTAACATATTCCCTTGATGTTTTTAATATTCAATAATGGCACTTCACTGAAAACAGTTGAACCAACATATCACAGTTCATGATAGTAATGTTTCTACTCTTAACAATACTCATGATGATCGGATTTGAAAGACGACGAAATGTGATATGCCTTCTGGAGTTACTTCCCTTGGTCGCACGGTGAAACTACATTTAAGCTGACTCGGACATCCCAGTTCACTCATCACTGCTACGTACATGACGTTACTGCTGTTTATATTACAATTACAGACAAGTGAAACATGCCCATACAGGTAACGAGGAATAGAGTCCTGAAGTCGATAGAAGAACTCATTTTTACCTTTCGACATGTTTGCATATATCTGTTAAGATGTGATTAAATCATTCAGCGAAGAGAGGTCACATCAGTTTCAAGTATTATAGATGAAATAAATGATACACTTGTTAAAGAACATGTAAACATAATTGTCTTTGCCCGAGAACATATTTGTGTATGTTTATGACGGGTGCCAGAGATGGGGATCGGGTACGCTCACCTTTTCACGAACATCAGACCTGGCATCATCACTGTTTCCTTGTGATTCATAAACACATGATCTGTCAACGTATCTCATGAGGGGCGGTGAGGTAGCCTCGTGGCTAAAGCGTTCGCTCGTCACGCCGAAGACCCGGGTTCGATTCCCCACGTGCGCACAATGTGTGAAGCCCATTTCTGGTGTCCCTCGCCGTGGTATTCCTGGAATATTGCTGAAAGCGGCGTAAAACCATATTCACTAACTGACTCCCCGTATCTCATGATGTCAATCACAGGATTGTCTGATCTTGACTTGATTATTTACAGACCGCCGTCATATACCTGTAAACTTGCTGAATCCGGCTTTAAAGATACAAACAAACAAACGAACCATCAAATACTTACTTATGACATATTCTTAAACTTAAGTTTCAATTCGAGTGCTTACCGTTGCATTGGGACTTCGGATAATCATACTGAACAGAAAATATAATCTCACCTTACATCTGACCATATACTTCCCATTAATGTTATGTTATATTTTGTCTAAACATAACGCAAAACGTCCTCGTGCCTCAATTACGATACGTACGTTATGGCTAAGCTATACTTTTCGCTACAACACAGCGTAGTTGCACACGTTATTTCTGAAAAATATTTCGCAAAGTTGTGAATTGTCTTGATGACGTTCATCAACTCTCTGTATCGCGGGCGGTGGGGTGGCCTAGTGGTTGACGCGTTCGCTCTTTACACCGAAGACCCGGGTTCGATTTCGCACATGGGTACAATGTGTGAAGCCCATTTCTTGTGTCCCCCGCGGTGATATTGCAAGAATATTGCTAAAAACGGCGTAAAACTAAACTCAATCACTCTGTATCACGTCGCATGAGGGATGGTACAGTATTTGCATGTGTTGAGAAGTTGATGCATGTTAGTGTCATGTTCCTGGTTAGCCCAGTACGTCACGTACAAAAGGTGGCATGTTATAGAGAGTGTCAGCGCAGTACGTCACGTACAAAAGGTGGCATGTTATAGTGAGTGTCAGCGCAGTACGTCACGTACAAAAGGTGACATGTTATAGAGAGTGTCAGCGCAGTACGTCACGTACAAAAGGTGGCATGTTATAGAGAGCGTCAGCCCAGAACGTCACGTACAAAAGGTGGCATGTTATAGAGAGTGTCAGCGCAAAAGATTGCTCATCAGAAACAAATTCCCAATGGTTTAAGCCGAAAATCGCTCTGAACATTATGTGAATGAATTGACAGGAAAACAACAAACCAAGTAACATTTCCACAACTTACACATACCCACGTGTTGTTCTGATCTCTTCAACTGCATTTCGTGAATGTTGAAGGCGCCACAAACCTTTGAACAGGCGTTCATGGAGTCCCGAACAATGCTGTAGACTATAGAACGAGTGTATGTGGATGACAACGTCTTTTATTCTAGAGCACGACGTTTCGATACAGGTTCTAGTATCGTTTTCAAGTATGATTAGTACAGGGAGAGAACAAGAATTATGTTATCTAAATTATCTAGTCTAAAAGCGTTTGAAGTAAAGTTGCAAAAACATCTTAAATACTGGTAAGTTCTTTGACCTAAGTTCCAGTCGCAAAAACATAACTGTACATTCAGAAAAATACCACACGGTGGATATGAACAATAAATTATCAAATTGCATAAGGATTATCTGGCACTCTGTATCATGCAACGTTATGCTTTTCAACCTTTACAGCCGCGTAGATTGATGTTCACGTGGTACGTAAGTGATACTATTTGGTCCAGACAGTCTTATCGCAACATGACCTCAAAACATGACCTCAAACTGTTATCGTTCTCCAGCAATGATTATTTCTGGCAGATTGTATTCTTCTTCATGACACACGAGTGGTTCAACTGGCATCTCAAGCCGGAGTGAATGATTACAAACCTCCTTCTGACAATATTTAAAAGAACCAAAGAATAAACGAAGCATTTTATTATTTAAAGTCGAGTGGATCAGGTCTAAAATCACCTTCCCTCTGTTGTGACTCAGGTGATAACTCTGAATCCAGTTTACCTCGCAACATACTGATGGGAAATCATCTGTAAATGATCCTCGAATCATACAGATGCGACAACTCTACAAGAAATGTATTGCCACATGAACAGGCATGGAAGGTCGTTGCCACGAGGGTTACATTATAGTCTTGTTCACTGACACTGTGTTGACTATCTGTGCTAAATGACTAAACTTGCTATTTTAGGAGAGACAATTCGGACGATGACAGGTGTAAATTCGGTTTATAGTTTGTGGGAACTTTTCTCGTGGTTCCGAAATTCGCTGATAACGAAGGCCCAGTTTTTGAACAGCTGAATGTATTTCATATGAAAACAACCCACACCCTCACCAGTTAAGAGTCATGACGTTTCACGTTTTGAGTGAGTGATTGAGTAAGTTTTACGCCGCAAACAGCAATTTTCCAGCAATGGCTGCGGTCTGTAAATAATCGAGCCTGGAACAGACAATCCAGTGATCAACAGCATGAGCACCGATCTACACAACTGGGATGCGATGACACATCACATTTTGAATAATCTGTAAACCTGGTTAACCTGGATCCAGTATACAAAATGTACAAAACAGGTACAGTTATCTTATTTTTGGGGTTGTACAGCCAAATATTTGATAATAGTTCTATTTACGTGCTAGTATATCTAATTTGTGTGTGGATAGATGAACTCGGAGGAAGATGCAGGATTGTGATAATGAGGTTATTGCGCACACTCCAGTTCGTGAAAGTGAAAAAGTAAGTGAAAGAACAGCTGCTGGAGATGACCGACACGTCGATCCAAATGTGATTATTTATCTGTGTACAGAAAGGGAATTCACAGCACTCCCAGTCACGTGTTCTAGACGTCTTTTGTACACACATTGGAACTGAACCATTTCTGCATCGCTAGTTAAGCTCAACCATTGACGATGTAGAAAGAAAGAAAAACTATAATTGTTTCATTGGTTTAAGTTGGTGTAGAACATATGTAACTTCTATCATCGATCTTGTGTCTACCACTTCAAGCAGGATTCATGACTGGCAAACACTGCACACTTTCAGTGTTATGTGAATTAGATAGGGGAAGATTCTACTGTTTTATCAGTTTGGAGAAATATTCAATTTGTGAACTCGGCACTACGCATTCGCGTTAACATATTACATATGTCCAATTTGTACATAAACAACGTAACCGCATGGTTCTTTTCCCACCGTAGAATATATGGCACTTATGGACAAATAAAAATATGCTAGGAGCCGGAGTAAAATGCTTAAAATAAATACATTTGGAATGGACAATCGATAATCAAAACCCATGAGCTGGGTACTTGAGATGTCACTTTACAGAATGTCTATTCTGTCCGTGTACGTCATTACCCACGCGTTAGAAGCTGGGGCAGGACTGATGTCCTGGTTATATACAGGTAAAGGTATCCTACATTACATCATTACTTGTGTGCTAAAGGTTTAATGGTAATGTATGACACTTTATTGTAGTATTCTATGTACATGTTGTATATTTATTATACACAATCAACAGAACAAACACAGCGCCATGATTCTTCTTCAACCAATGAAAGCATGCGAACAAGGATAGGTGGACTCGTCGATGCCTGATGTTAAACACAAGAAACAAAAATATTAGTACCATTAACAATATTAATACCAATAATGATAATGGGGAACTATTATTTGGGAGAGGGACTGGCACCCTAAGGATACATGGTAGAGACAGTCTCAAAAATGACCATATAAAGGACAAAATTCAGGAAGAAAACAATTATTCACTGCTAGAGCTGGGTGTAGTGATCGAAGCCCCTGAGCTGATGAGAAGCATAACCAGACTGGCCATGCAAGGATCACTCAAACCAGATTTGCTGCATTACTTATTTTGATATGTAAATAATAATAATAATAATAATAGTAATCCCCTAATTATAAAAACATTAGCATGGGCAAAACAACGTCACACTGAGATTATACCACACAAGCAACTAGGAAATAACTAGGTTTCGATTCTGTAGATATTGTGAAAGGAACATCATCATACGCACAACACACGATCTAACAACAGAACCAACGGCAGGGCAACCGGGTGCCATCTTGAACGTTTTCACATATCATTGTATATATTCTGAACATGATTTTCGTTCCTCGATGTTTGTGCAGTCCCGTCAGGCACTAATACACTTTACATTCGTGTTAAAATAAGATCTTGTGTAACAGGTTAGGTTTGGTTTGTTGTTTTACGCCGCACTCAGCATTATTCCAGATATATGGTTACCAATTCTAACCCGGATCTTCACGGGTTCTTGTGTAATAGTGAACACTTGGTGTTATCACTCATTTTAAGTTATCCATATATCGATTTCACTGCTTTGTTGCATCTTCAGCCTAAAAGAATTTGTTTCGTCGGATTCTTGATTCTGGCGTTGATGTTTTGCCCATATTTGGTTTGGTATTGTTGTGGCTGAGACCCATCAGGTAGCAAGAAGCCGTTACTTTATCGAAACTTACTTTACTGAATGAACTTCAGCTTCTTTTTATTCTGACTTATTTTCTTAGATTACAGTGTCTGTTGTGAAGTACAAATCTAAAATATAATTCGGCCGATTGAGTTATTCGGCAGATTGTACACATTGTATTTCTCGCAACTTCAAGTTTCGAATTCTGAGCCTATGAATATATTTGCATATTTAAATTGACATCCACCGGTAGTTTTCTGTTTGTTCACAATGACCGATATAAGAAGGAAAACATGCGTTCTAGATTTCGACCTAAGACTTGACTACTGACCAGGGTGACCTGTGGGCGGCCAGACTGGCACAGTTCCAGCTCTCCATGTACACTGAGGGTCACCGAGTTCCTGACCATTCGTAAATCCGTCGTTGTCAGAGTCCATTTGACACAGAGCTTGCGTCCACGTGTGAGATGCAGCCTGAAAAGCCTGGGAAAATACAAATGTTTACAAAATTATATGTGTCATATCGTTCTACCGCACTTTCTGCAGTATTCCAGCACTGTGTACCTCTTTGAGAAGCCGAGGAACACGCTGGAGGGCGGGTCTTACAAAGCCAAGTACATCAATCCTAATGTAGCATGAGGCAAGACGAATATGCCACCTCTAACGATAGGTTCCAGCGAGCAGATGTGGGTATTATTATGTATCAATACTGTAGTAAAACTAGAACGACAAAATCCTTTTGACATTCATAAGAAATAAATGCCCAAAGCAGAGAAAGAAATCTCCCTGCAAAAGAAATCTTTCAATACATTTCAACAAATTTGCATTCACTTAAGTTACCAAGATCAGTATTACATACAAGACTTTAATGGTACGTACCATTCCAAACGGGTTCAGGTTCTGTGCCCCTCCTATATCTGCATTTCCGTGTCCAACAGCATTCCATACAAGATTTGTATCACAAGGATGTGGCACCTTATCGCCGTTCGGGATTTCATTTTGGTAGGGTGGCTTAGCCACAACGACAACGACGACGCACAACGCGAGGGACAGGTGCTGCAACATCTGGAATTATCTCGTACTCACAATAATGCAACTGTATGTTTTTCAGCCTTTATAATGGCGTAGATTGCTGTTCACGTGGTACTTTGGTGACATTATTTGGTCCAGATAGTCTTATCGCAACAGGACCACAAAACAGAGGGCCAATTACCGTTCTACAGGAGTCATTATTTCTAGCAGGTGGTTGTCGATTTCGATAAGACACGCAGTTAAATTTAAATTTAAATATATTTATATCTATGTTGCGGAATCGTTCAAGTTGTACTGAATAATTATATAATCTTCGTGATAACAATATTTCAGAGAACGAATACAATGAACTGAACATTCTTAATTTGAGCTGAAAATCGTTCACGTTCAGAAAGTTCTTCCGGGTGTTGAAAATGTGACTTCTCAATTTATCTTGCCTCACAAGGTGATTCTGTTAAGATGAGAGAGCATATTATTCTGTAAAGGATCCTGGGTTTATCGAGAGCCGACAGTTATGGTTAAAAGACATATGTGTTGCTATATTACAGCTGCTTGGGAAGATCAAAGCTGAATTTGGGGCTTACAAGGAATATGTTGAACAAAGACCTTGTTGACGAACGAACCTGAATGACTCAACATGCTATTTCTAGTTGACACAGTTAGTGGATGTAGATATTTACTCTATGACAACTACAATCCCGTCCATCAGAAACTTATATATGGTTGTAGGACACATGTTTAATCTAACAGTTTACTAAGCTCAGATACATGATTAGCGAGATGCAATACTCCCTCACTCACTAACTCACTCACTCACTCACGCATGAAAGAGCTGCAAGAGGTAAATAGAATGTCTTCCATTGTTGGTATCCTCTCCGTCAGATGCACGTTCTATCCCCTCATCCCCCGTGACTAAATACAAGCAACAAACCCCCTTCCATAGTCACTAGAAATCTCAAAAGGAATCTCCACTTAAAGTAGGTTAGAGTCTACGATTCGGGGTGTATCATTGTCAATGTATATGAATCGCAGTTAAATATTGATGACAACAGATGTTTATGAGCTTGTCCTTCCCTACCAGTGTCACCGGTCATAAGCACTTTCAAATGGAATTCAGTTGTTCACCTGAGAAAATATGAATAAATTAAACTAATCAAAACAGAAACAGCATCAGGCATCATCTTTGTCAGTGACGGGGTCAATTTGGCCATGGACAAATAACGACGATAAAACGTTTAAAAATATTACCGAGGCCTTAAATAATGTAACCCTTGATTTAGCATTTCCTTTTGGTGTCCCTAGCATATTGGGATATTTGGACAGCAAAACACTTACTCAGAACATGCCAGAATAATTTAGATAATGTACGAAGGTGAGGTGAGGTGAGGTGAGGTGAAATTGGGCTTAACGTCGTGCTTGAGAATATTTCGCTCATATGACGACGTGCATGCGTGTGTATGTGTATGTGCGGCTGCTTGTACTAGCCCAGACCGAAGCTGGTTTTATAGTGCTAGCCCACTGAGATACCATGCCGCAGAGAAGCATGAATAGCCCACTCAGACACATTATACTGACTCCGAGCCGACCAGTCCTTGTTGTACCAATTAATGCCGAGCGCCAGACAGGGACCAACAATTATCATATTTAAACGTCTTTTGGTATGACGCGGCCGGGGATCGAACCCGCGACCTTCCGCTCTCCGGGCGGACGCTCTAACCACTACACCACGGAGACGGTCAATGTACGAAGACATCAAACCGGATTACTGCTGCTGCTGCTGCTGCTACTGCTACTACTACTATTACTACTACTACTACTACTACTATTACTACTACCACCAATTCTACTACTACTACTACTACCATCACTTCTGCTACTACTGACTGACTGACTGAGTTTAGCTTTACGCCGCTTTTAGCAATATTCCAGCAATATCACGGCGCTGCTACTACTACTACTACGACTACTGTTACTACTACTTTTGGAGCTGCTGTCATTCGGAATGAGTGTACATACATGGGCAACTGCCGTTATCTGACCTGATGACCTGAGAGATCTGTGGGCGTGCACATGTGGGTCAGGTCAGACATTAATAGCTGTTTTTACGAACGATACGCACATCTGCACATATGTCCATCCTAAATCTCATGTTGAATTTGCTTGCCCATAATTATCCATTGTTCATGGGTATAGATTGCATTCAGCTGCATAGTTTCTCGGACTTTACAATTTCAAGTAAAACGTGTCCAAATACAGCTTTTGTGATGCAAACGAAAAGTGTCTATATATCACTAGTGTTTTGTGAAAACACTTGTACCTGGCGGGAGTAGGGTACACGTTACGGGGTTGACCAGTGCCACCGAAACCTTTATTCTAATGACCAGCTGATGTCCAAAATATTCTCGTTCGCGCAATGTGTTATAAAGATGTGCCGTTATTGAAATGATTATCTCTTCACGGTATAGCGAAATATGACAAGGAAATGAAGTACAAAAAAACAACCCCAAAACATAAAAAAAAGAAAGAAAAAAAGTTGCATGTTGATTTGTACATGTAGCACAGCACCCTTGTTACATTTCACAAGTTTCTTGATCCAAGTGCCAATCCTTTTATTCCTCGACGTTCAGGTCGTGAAAGGAGGCCACCAGACTGATTCAGGAGTGGCGCGTGTATTTTGAAGCAAAATGCTGTAAATATTGAAATATTTGTATACTTCCCAGTTTCATTTCAGGAACTATTGTTTTGTAGACATATGTAATAATGTTTTAAGTTTCTAATGTATTTCAGATGTTTTATTATGTCGAGGACGACAGTTTCCTGAGGAAGGAAGGTGTCGCAGGTTGACATATAGCACAGCACCACTGACACATTCCACAAATTGACAATTTTCATAATTCATGGTTTGGGGAGGTGATGATAAGGCTAATTTAAGGGCGGATCACCCATTTTGTTCTGGGGAGGTGGGGGTGGTGGTGTCATCATATTTGTTCACTCACACGCATTGGGGTGGGGTGTATGGTGGGTGTCATTCACATTGTACATGCTTCTCCACAAAATCATCACCCCCACCCCACCCCCACACACACTCACACACACCAGCCATAATTTATGAACGGTCCCTAACAGCTGGCTGCCAGCAGGTACATCCTGGGCTCTGGTACATGCTACTCCTGCAGTCTGTGCAGGCAGGTAATATAGACGCTGCATTTGCCATGTGTCTGGTGCACACCATGCTGCCAGTGGCACTCAGGTAATGTATTGTCCATAATTACAGGTATGAAAGTTTGATTGAATGAATTGTTGATATAAAACAATTGTTCATATATACCCATGGAAACGAATATGGGAACACATGAAAGTTCAAATGTTCCTTTATTCTTTTCCAGGTTCCTTCAACAAGGTATATATTGCACTGTAAGTGAAATTCTGGAAATCAATAAGGGAACACTTGTACTTTGATATTTACAGGTGTAAGTCAGGTGTATTACTTTATATTCTAGTAAATATATTTAATGATTATTTCCATTTGATAATCATGTAAATGTCACAAGAATAATTTTACTGTAACCTGCCATCTTAATTTATAGTAACCCGTGAAGGTCCGGATTAGAATATTGATCTTCAGTAACCCATGATTGTCGTAAGAGGCAACTAACGGGATCGGGTGGTCAGGCTCGCTGACTTCGTTGACACATGTCATCTGTTGTAAGGGGGAGAGTTGAATAAATTTTGGTCGGCCATTTTGTTTTTATGACGTCACATAGGTGTGACCTTTGTGTGACCTAATCGACTGTTGAACCCTTAAGCCCCACCCTCCTTCGGGAGTCCCCTTCCGGCCCAGGTGTGTGTGACCTTCAGGTTGACCTCATTTCACAGGGGGCAATGTAACGAACTGACCTGGGGACTTTCCCAGAGGTTTTTTTAGACTCGTTTGTGGGCAATATAAGGCTCCCGAACAGTCCCCATGTCATTCAGTCGCCAGAGAAAACGCACACATGCACTTGACTCTACTGGTTCTGGTAGCTGTTTACCTCGAAGATGGAAGCCGTTCACTGTGATATCCTGAGGAAGATTACTCCGGCCTAGTGCAAGCTATACAGCGTGTAGAAGAGGAGGTCGACAAACTGGTACAGTTTGAAGTCCCTACCATCTTCATGAAGGCAGAGTTTATCGAAAAACCACAAACCTCCTTTGACCGGGTCAGAGCTTTATTAGATACCCTTCCCCGGCGAGGACCCCAAGTTTACACCCTCTTCTGTAAAGCTTTGGAGGAATGTGGAGAGATACAAGCTTTGACATTGTCCGGACTATAGACAGACAAGACAGAGCTACAGGATCCTCATTGTCATATAGACTTAGGCAATGACGTATTTGTGACGGCCATCAATCAAGGAAGGACCCATGATTATGCTCATGTGGGAGCCAATATGTATGCTACTTTGGATCCAAATGGTGGTGTGGATCTACGACAGTGGGAGAAAAACGAACAACTGGGAAGAGTGACACCTACCAACAAATGTATTCTGTTGTCCATAGATCTGGGAAAGGCTGGTAGATTGTGTAAGAGTCATGTTTCACTTTGTGCCAGAACTGAATGAGATGGTTCCTTGTATGCTTCAGGATGATCATCCAAACCAGATGGAGTACCTCATGTGTTCCTTCTATAACCCTAGTGACTACAGTCACTGGGTGTAAAGCCATTCTTGGTTTAGACACAGTACTGTGCGGACGTGTTACCACTGCTCTGGGATATCATGGATGTGTGTGGACATTACCCACTCAACAAGACACTCGGTTGCTGTGCAATCAATACTGAATGGACTTCATTCCAGAAAAGACTTGATTCGTTTAAGGACTGGCCAGTGCAGATGAAACAGAGTCCTAGTCACATGGCCCAGGCAGGATTTGTGTACTTTATCAGAGGGGACACTTGCAAATGTTTTCAATGTGGTCTCGTTCTCAAGGACTGGGAAGTAGATGACGATCCCTGGGTCGAACATGAAAAATGGTCTCCAGGCTATACATATTTGGCCATGGTGGGAGTACCTCGGAAAGAGGTGGCCCACTGGGGTAGTCATGTGGATTTGCAACCAAGAGTGTGATGTAAAATGTGTGAATATTA